TTTTTTTTTTTATTTAAAATTTTTTTTTTTTTTTTTTTTTTTTTGTACGTAACATATTTTTTTTTTTTCTTGTTTACATTGTTTTTTTCTAAGCATTTTTTTTTTTTATTCATTCAATCTATCTTAAAATGGCATTTAATTATTTTTAGTGCTTCGCCACACATTGAGTTTTTTTTTTTATACGATTAAGATAGCTCTTATTTTGTTTAATTCTGATAAAAGAAAAAAAAAAGCAAAAGCGTTTACATAAAAATAAATAACTTTTAAATAAAATTTTAATTTTTTTAGAAACATCTATTGATATACATTTAGTAAATTAAAAAAAAAAAGAAAAAGATAGGAATGACATTTTATTTATTTCTATATTACAAATGTAATTTTTTTTTTTTTTTTTTTGAAATTTTTCACAAGCTTTTTTTTTGCAGGTTTCCATAAATTTATGTTAAATTACGTAAAAAATAATTTTTTTTTTATATTATTTTATTATGTACATTTTGTATATCCTGAAGAAATGTGAAAAATTATATGAGCTTAATTTTATGTAAAATAATTTTGTATATTGAAAATTAAAAAGAATTTATGGATAAAAATTAGCTGCCTATATCTATCAATTGTAAATGATTCACTCAATAGCAATGAAAAAGCTACGAAACAAAAATAAATCACAAAACCTTTTTTTAAAGTTAGATAATTTTTATTGTAAGCAAAAATTTTTTTATTTTAGAATCTCCTGTTTTATCATCTGAATGTAAAAAAAAAAAAAAAGAAAAAAAAATTTTCATTTTTAATTGAATAACGTAATAGAAGGAAACATAAAAATATTAAAATTACAACATATTTTTAATATTTTTGATATTCCTCAAAAATAATGAAATGTTTTGAATTGCAAAATTATATATGAATTAAAAAGAAAAAAAAAAAAAAACTAATAATAAATATTTTTTTAATATTTGTACATGTATGAAAAGATGTAAGAAAATGAATTTAAAATTTTTAATACGATTTTATATTTAAAAAAATTATTTATTTATGTGTGTATACTTTTGAATTTTATATATTGGATCCAACTGCAAGTGCCTGAGCATGAATTAAATAAGTACTGCTATTATTAGAAGTAAGGTTGCAATTATTGAAATTGTCAGTACATATAATTTTTTCATCGCTTATTGATAGAAATATTTTCACAATTCCCATTTCATTTGCAACCCTTTTTGCTTTGTTATATAAATGAACATCAGGTTTTCCATATTTATCATTTCTTATTTCTATGTCATTCATACTTAAACCATATTTAGAGATGGAACTTAAACCTCTCCCAATAGATTTAAGTATGGCCTCTTTTGCAGCAAATTTTTTACTTATATAAATTGCCAATTTTTTAATATCTTTATCAATTCCACTATTTTCTTTTAACTCTTTTAACTCTAAAGAATTCAAAACTTTGTTTAAAAAATTATTTTTGTTCTTCTTAAGAACAATGTTATGTATTCTTGAAACACTTAATATATCAGTACCAAAACCAATTATATGATGACTATAAAATGTTTGTGTATAATGATGAAAATTCAAATATTTTTCAATAGCATCTTCTTCAATATTCATAAAATCATTATATTCTTCTAAATTGTTTTCATGATCTTTATTCATTAAATGTACTAAACCATGTAAAACATAAAAAGGTAATCTTTCGTTAACACTGAAAACGTTTTGAAAAAGTTTGTTAACACCGCGAATATTTTCTTCTTCATTATTATTATCTCCTCCTTTTTGTACTTCATTTGCATTCAAAATATTTTTCTCATATTTCATTTTTGATAAAAAACATTCTCTGTTTATGTAATCAGGACATAAATAAATATCTCCAGATTTAAAATACTGTTTATCTAGAATTTCTGTATCTATTAAATCATCATTTAAAATACTTGGTTTATTACGCATGAAATGTAATATAGATATAACATCAGTAGGTTTATTTTTATTTCTATGTTTCTTATTAATTTTTTTCATCTCTTTTGAGTCTACAAATGTTATATTTAGTTGAAATTCTTTAAAATTTAATATATATATAAGCTTCCTTACTTCCTTTTCAAAATGAGGAAGATCAATTGGAATATCAATTTGATTATTACTGATTTCTAAAAATGAATTTCGTTCATAACTTTGATCATATATTCTATTATTTAACTCATTGTCCACCATACTACTATTTATTTTATTAAATATACTTTTATAATTTTCATCTATCATGAAAATTTTATTTAGAATTTTTTTATCATTCTCTTTTTTAGAATATTTACTTCTGACTTTTTTATTTCCATTTAAAATATATTTCTTTTTAAGTTTTTTTTCTATTACTGAATTTTTAATATAAAATTCTTTCATATTTCTTTTTTTTCTCTTATTTGTAAAAATTTCATTTATTTTGTTATTATTCTGCATAAAAAAAAAGTGTTTAATCAAAGGGTTATCTTGCACATTTTTACATACAATATTTTTTATTTCTAAAGTATACACACTTGTAAAAAATTTTTTTTGATCATACAGAAATAAATAAAAAAACAATAATTTTATTATTTTAAGAAATACATTATTTAATTTAAAACAAAGAAAAAGCATTATAAGATATGATAAAAGACCTAAGACATATTCTATAAATTATTTTGCATATCTTTATATTTTCTGTATAACTTTTTTTTTCTTATTAATTTTACATAAAATATACATTAGTAACTTGTAATAAAATATAAGGATTGTGTTACATATAAATAGAAAAAATATAACAAAATTATTATTTCTGATAATTTATATTTTTGTAACTTTAAGATTTTTTTATTATTTGTTCAATTTTTCATCTCTTCATTATTTTTGCTTATTTATTTTATTTTTTTTTTTTTTATACTACAAAATAATGAAATTTTCTTATTTTTAATTTTACTTTTAAATTTTCAAATCAAAACTTCCATAATACTTCTTTATTTTAATGTATTTTAATACTTTCTTCAAAAAATTGAACGTTTATTTGATAAATAAGTAATATTTTCTATATTTATTTTACTTCTAAGATTCTTTATTACATTGATTTATTTAAATACATTTAATTTTTACTTATTAATAATATAATATTAATATATAATCTTCTTTTTTATTTTAATGAACTCCTCATTTGTATTATTTTTTTTTTTTTTTAATTTTTTTTATTTATGAATATCATTATTTTTTTTTTTTGATACAGAAAAATACATGAATAATTCTTTCAAACACAAGGGAAAATATTAAAAAATTTTAAATGGAATAAAAGAGAAAAAGTCACAATAAAAATGAAAATTTTTATATAAGAAGATATTTTAAGAAAATAAAAAAAGAAAACTGAAAAAAATTTCTGAAATAATTATGAATAATGATTATAAAAAATTTATCTTGTTAAAAAAATATTTCCCATATATCAAACTTTCAAATTAATAATAAAAATGAAACGGATTAATACGAAACATAATTTTAAGCTAAATTTTTTTTATACTTTTTTGTAAATAAGTTTGTTTCATTTTTTTATTTTTTTACTTGATAATTTTCAAGAAAGTATCTTGGTTTTATAATAATAAAAAGAAAATAAAAATATATGTTAAAATGTTAAAATATGAATAATTTATAAAAAAAAAATTATGTGTAACTTGTATTTATATTAATTAATTCAATGACATTGGATAAAGCTTTTCTATATGTATTATTTATATAAAACTAACTGAATCAAAGTAAAAATAAGACAAAACTTTCATTTGTAAAACATAAAAATGCGAAGAATAATTTTTAAAATTTATATTTCTTTTACAAGCCCTTTTCTTATAATATATACACAATAAAAAAAAAAAAACAGTTATGCTTTAAATTTCATACAACATTCAATTCTTTTATTTATTTAATTATTTTTTTTTTTTTTTCATATATAGCATTACATTATAAAAAAAAAAAAAAAAAGTTTTTTAAGAACTTCAATGTTTTCTCTTTAAATAATTGGCACAAAAATTCATAATACATCAAGCTTCTCCCACGTAAAATATAATACTTAATCATAAACATTCATTAAATACCCATGTGCATTTGTGTGCAAACATAATAAACAGAAAAGAGCAATATTTTATATTACTTTTGTTTTAACATTTCTTCTTAATAAAAAATGGCATAAATGTCTTAAAATGTTCTATAAAAACATTTAAATAATTAAAAATATATTTATATTTTTTCTATAAAGTACCTTTTTTTTTTTTTTTATAGTATATATGTCATACAGTATCATATATATATATATATGTTTTTTTTTATTTTTTGTCTAACAGAAAATATACTTTTTTTTTTAATTATTTATTTGTATAGTTTTCTCATTTCTAATACTTTTATATTTTCTTTTTTTTAGTTGTTTTTCAATAAAGTGATGTTGTTTTGCATGCAAACAAAACTTTTTTTTTATTTTTTTGTATTAACAAAATTTGTATTTATATAAATATTTATATTTTTTATATTTTTAAATTCATGTTAACTTGTCATAATTGTTTGATATTTTTATTTTATTTTTTTTTTCTTATTAAGAATTAATAGACAAAAATTAAAGCTTTAAGTATGAGCCTAAATTTTTTTATGTTAACAATTGGAAATATTGAATTTATATATATATTAATTTGTACATTTTGAATGTTATATTTAATTACAAAAATTTTATTACTTCAAGAAAAAACTGTATTTTTAACTTGTCTAGATTATTAAAACACATAGTAGAAGTTTTTATATGTATGTATATAAGTTGTCATTGAAATATAAAAAGAACTTTTGTTTTCAATAAATTTGTAAATATTGCATATATGTATATTCAGATAAAAAATATCTGATGTAGACATATGTTATTTTATATAAAAACGTATTTGTAAACGCAACACTACTTAATAAAAAAAAAAAAAAAACAATTAATATAGCAAAGAAGCGATAGTAACATTGACATAAATATATGTATCTATATGTACAAATGAAAACATCATTGAACTGATTTTTACTTAAAAATATATAAAAGTAATTTAATTAAAAGCTATTAAAAATAGCATTCTTTTATTTCTTAAAAATGAGTATATGTAATAAAAAAATTATAGAAGAGAATGAAATGAATAAAAATAAAAATAAAGATTACATTTTTAACAATATGGAAAAAGTACCAAGAGAAACAGACGTATTGATAGTGGGTGCTAGCACCGGTGGGTTATTTTTATCATTAGATTTGATGAGAAAAAATATAAAAAATATAATTATAAATTCACATGAATGTAGTTCAGTAAATGATAAAATTAATGAACAATACTTACTTTATCCTCGTACGTTAGAAATATTACAAGATTTAAATTTACTTACAGAAATAGCATCTAAAAGTTTAAAATTGAATGGAATAAGTTTTTATATAGAAAATAAATTAATAAATAAGACAAGCAAAACATTCTTTCAAAATTTTAATAGCACTCTACCATATATGTTAAGTATAAGTAAATTTACATTAAATAATATATTAAGAAAAAATTTAGAATATTTTGGTGAAATTGTAGAAGATTCTACCATATTATGGAATATTAATGATAAACTTGAAGGTAATAAAAATAAAGAAAATTATAAAAATAAAAACTTAATAATACATAACAATTCTATTTTATCACAAGATCTCCTGAATTCTTCATCAATTAGCAACAATTCAAATAATATTTACGAAAATAAAAATACAAGAACTGTAAAGAAACTTTATACTTTACCTTCTCTCTTGAAAAATAGAACAGATATAAATAGCAATGTAGACGAAAAAATTAATCATAATTTAAAAGAAAATAATAAAAGTAAAAATCTAATATACAATAACAAAAAAAAAGAATATATAAATTACTCATATAGTGAAAGTAATGATAATAGTATTAGCTCAAGTTCATTAACATCAAATAATAGTGATACAATTTCTAGTTTATCTAGTGAAACGACATCTAGTTCCATTTCTGCTGAATATAATAATGACTATAAAAATAGCAAATGTGGAAATGATAGCAATGATACTAATAAAATTTCTATTAAAAATAATTCAAGTGATAAAATTGAACAAACAAATAATCAATTGCACTTATTAAACATCCTATTAGATAAAAATAAATACGTTAATAAAAATGGGAGAATGAATATCTATTGTGATAATGTTGAAAATTCAACAACTTTATATAACAAAAATGAAAGTCTTAAGAAAAACAAGGACAAAAATTACAATTATACAGTTGTTCAAGTAAAAGAACAAAATTCTCCAAGTAATGAAAAAGGATGCAGTCAATTTGCTTCAATAAAAAGTAAATTTATTGTAGGAACTGATGGAAGGAAATCAATAGTAAGAAAGTTTGCAGATGTAAAAATGGACGAAAAAGATAATCGATACTTAGAATATATTTCTGTTGATATTTGTGCCAAATGGGGTAGTGAAATGAATCATTACAATTTGTCGTTAATTGCATCTCAGCATGGTTTCATTACATGCTTTCCAATATTTTTTGAAATACAAAATATTAATGAAAATAATTTTTACTGCAAAGATGAAAATTTTATAAATGTCATAAAAAAAATAAAAACGGAATACAATTTAGGAATAAAAGAAAGTAATTTAAATGATTTAAATAAAAGTAATTTAAAAAATGTATTTTCTAATTATTATAGTTTATCTAATTCAGAAGGATATTCTTCAAATATTTCTTCAGCAGACAAAGTGAAATATGAAAAAAAAGGACAAAATACTTCTTGCAATAAAAATATGAACATAATTAATAATAATAATAATAACAAAAGTTTTCCTCATAATGTAAGAAATGAAAGTATTTTTTTGAAAACAGAAAACTTCCCTAAAAAATCTAGTAAAGTTAGTAATAGCTATAATAATACATCAGTAAATATACAAACATCAATCATAAATGAAGAACAAAAAAACAACAATTTTAAGAAAATTTTAGATTATTTTAATAATAAAGATAGGAAAAATACCAAATTTATTAATAAGTATGTCGAGGAAAAAAATATAGAACAATTAGAAAATTCAAGATATAATACATTTAACAAAAATAACCCAAAGTATTCAAGTAATATTTCCAGTTATAAAAAAATTGTATTAGATTTAAATTCTTGTAGTATTGAAAACACTAATAAAATTGTTCCTTTTGATAAAATCAATTCATTATTAGAACAAAAAAAAGATAGTAAAACTCTAAATGGATCATTAAAAATAGAACAACATATTAATGCAAATCAAAATAATGCAAAAATGAAAAATAGCAAAAATGAATTGGAAACAATAAAAGATAAAGAGTATGAAAGTAATATGAAAACAATACCGCTATTAAGTACGTCTGACAAATTTAATGTTGATGATTTTTTTAATAATAGTAGTGAAAACAATTTAAATAATAATTCTATTAATCATGAACAAATATTCTATAATAAAGGCAACAATAAAAGTAGTAATAATGACTATTGTAAAAATATAAATAATTTTAATAATAGTGGATGTAATGATAATAACGATTCTAATAACAATAGTAATACTAATAATAATACTGATATTAATAACATTGAAGCTTATAATAATAGTGATACTAATAATAATATTGATATTAATAATAACAGTGATACATATGATATTAATACTGAGAATAATAATAATAATAATATAAATAATGACATTGATAATTCAGATAATAATAATTATAATATAAATTCAGAAATAAATAATGATAATACAGTTATTAAAAACAATCATAATATTAAAATAAAGAATAATGATAAAAATTCTAATACAAGTAATAATGATAACTACGAAAGTAATTATATTAGAAAATCTTCTACAGAAGTTAGTTTTATTGATGCTATAAGTAACAATTCTAAATATGAAATGAAAAGTGATAAATTTTTTTACACAGGGAAGAGTAATTATAATTGGCATTTAACAATATGTAGAAATCTGAAGAAAAGTAAAAATAAATTCCATGATATAAATAAATCAAATGAATATAAATATTTAGAAGTAATAAAATTAATTAAAAAAATAATTCCGAATACTGAATTATTTTATTTGTATAATTTAAAAATAGGTATACATAAAGATAAAATTTGTAAGAACTATTATCATAATTCAATAATTTTAGCTGGTGAATCTAATTGCTTCTATAATCCTTTATTTAGTCTAAGTGTAAACTTAACTATACATGATACATATAATATAGGATGGAGATTAAAATCATTAATTGATTATAATTGCTCATCCCTTTTATTAGAGTCCTATGAAAAGGAAAGAAAATTAATTTCTGAAAAAATATTATCATGGAATAGGGAGAAATTAAACTTACTTTTAAATAATTATTCTATTTATCTATCTATTCTAAATTGCTGTGTTTCTACTTTTGCGAATATATCTACTTTTTATAACTTTTTTGAAAAATTTTATTTAAAAACGTTTATGCTTCAAGAGAATTATTATACACCTGATATAATAAATAACGCAACATTTTTATGCAAAAAGGGTTTTTTTTGTAGGGATAGAGCAAAAAATTGCATTTTAAAATATATTTATTCGAATAATAACTACGAAGAAAAGACAATAAGTTTATATGATTATTTAAGAGATCATTTACATACATTAATTTTATGCATAAATATATCAGATACATCAAGCCATAATTATGTTAATTCATTTTCTTTAAAAAATAAAAAAAATATGAATTATGATAAAACATCGTTAGATAAATTAATAAAAATAGGAAGGTTAACTTATAATACTATGGTGAAAAATTTAAATAATTCTTCATTGAAGATATTGTGGATAATATGTGATAAAAATAAAAATGAAATTAATCAAAACAACAATAACTTATTTTCAACAAAATTATCCTCTTCAAAAAGTATTAATATAAATTTTTATAAAGTTCCTAATGAACTATTAAATGAAATAAAAAATTCAAAAATACAAAATCAAATTATTTTATATGATTTTATAAATGATTTTCAAAAACAGTTCAATTTAAAATTGAATCTCCCTCATAATATAATTGAATCATACAATTTTAAATCTGCTATGTATATTTTTATCCGTCCAGATTTGCATATAACACACATGAACTATGTGAATGATGAAAATAAAATGACAGATTTTCTTGATTATATATATAAGTTTTATGGTTAAAAATAAACACTTTCTGTTAAATGTTTAATTAAACAAAAAAAAAAAAAAAAAAAAAAAAAAAAAAGACATCGTATATTCACATATGTATTTTTCTTCCTTGAATATTAAAAACTTTTAATTTAAAATTTTTAATTATGATACTAAAAAATTGATATATAATTTTTTTTTTTTTTTTTTTTTTTTTTTTTTAATTTATATATTTATTGTAATAATAGAAACCTCATATATTTATTTAATAAATATTTGCTTTTGCTTATCATGTAATTAAAACTTATATATATATATATATATATATATTTTTATTACTCATGAATTTTAAATTAAGTTTTTGTTTTATTGTTTTCTTACTTTTGAATTTTTTTTTTCCTATATATGATATGACACAATAAATTTTTTTTTGTGTTTTTTGTTGTGAAAAATTATATAAACTTCTATTTTCATCCATATGTTTTAGTATATATTTATGATTTATGGTGAAAAAAGCAAATGTGAAAAAAATATATCCATATATAATTTAATTTCCAAGTTTTTCATATAAAAAAAATTAAAAGGTGAATTTCTTTTTTTTTTTTTTTTTTTTATATATTAAATCAATAAAATGTTATATTAATTTTAATTAAATGATATATTAACAAAACAAACATATGAAATGAAAAGAAGAAAAAAAAAGATATAAAAAAGTTTACATAATTAAAAATATTTTTCTTTATATATATATATAATATTCATATTTATTTATTTAAAAAAAAAATTTATAGATAATTTTTCTTTTTTTCATTAGTTTTTTTCTATTGAAAATACTTATAAGTAGTTTTTAATTTTCTCCATAATTTTTTTTTTATTTTTAGTTTTCAAATTTTCTTTGTACTTTTCTTTACTTTTTTTTTTTCTATACATATATTTTAACTTATTTTTTACATATTCTTTTGTGTATTTTCTTAAGTGAGGTTTCCATGAATCAGATAGTTTTTTTGTTTTATCTTCTAAAAAATTGTTATTTGAATTACAACTAGAATATTCTGTTGTATCACTTTCATTTGATTCATTAGTACTTACACAGATAATGTCATTATATGAAATACTATTACTGTTACTATTACTCTTTTTTAGATCCTTCAATTTATTATCTCTTTTAATTTCTTTATGATAATTCTCTTTTTTCTTAACTTCAAAAGAATTTTCTTTATCATTATTATTTTCTTTTCCTTCATTTTCATCATTTTCTTCATTTTCGTAACTCTCTTCATTTTCGTAACTTTCTTCATTTTCATCATTTTCTTCATTTTCGTAACTCTCTTCATTTTCATCATTTTCTTCAATTTCATCATTTTCTTCATTTTCGTAACTTTCTTCATTTTCACAATTTTCTTCATTTTCATCATTTTCTTCAATTTCATCATTTTCTTCATTTTCGTAACTCTCTTCATTTTCGTAACTTTCTTCATTTTCACAATTTTCTTCATTTTCACAATTTTCTTCATTTTCATAATTTTCTTCATTTTCATAATTTTCTTCATTTTCATAATTTTCTTCATTTTCATAACTTTTTTCACAATTAACTATTTCTTTTTCACAAATAATATTTTTTTCATCACTTTTTAGATCCTTTTTTTTACTTTCATCATTCATCATTTTCATTATTTTTTCATTTTGAAAATCTTCTTTTATAATATTTTCCATTAAATCTTCTCTTTTCTCTATTTTTATATTTTTCTTTTTTTTATTTTCATCATTTTCATAAGCATCTTTAAAATTATTCTCTAATGTTTCATGACTATCATAGAATATAATATTATTATGATCTACTTCATTACTTTCTTTTTTCATATTTTCAACTTTTTCTTTCTTTTTTTCAATTACATTATTTTTTTTTATTTCTGTTTCTTCCTCATTATATTCGTCTATTTCTCTATTATTATATGAGATATTCATTTCGTCACCTTCTGAATGTACTATTTGATTAATATTTGATTGGTTAGATATGTTTGAATAATCAGAATCATAATCTGATTTATCATTTTGTAAAATTTCTAAAAGCATTTTATCTTCATTTTTTGATAAGTTATTTTCGTCAATGATTAATTTATCATTATTTAATGAAATAACATCTTCATAAAAAGGATATTCTATAATTTTTATTTTATACTTTTTAAAAAAATGGTTTATAACACACTTAAGATCCCTTTCAAAATACATTTTAGCGTTTTCATGATGTAGTGACACAATTTGTGGAAAATCAATAATAGTTACATTTTCATAATCATCAATTAAGATATTGAATTCATTAAAATCACCATGAATAATATCTGCTTTTGCAAATTTTACGATTGTATTTATTAAAAAATCTATAACTTTAAAAGGATTACTTAATTTAACATGAGATAATGGATATCCATTTACATATGACATTATAATCATATGTCTATTGATATCATATGGTTTGGGGACAGGAAAGTCATTCTCATATAATGCTTTTAAATAAGCATATTCTTTAGTTGCTGCAATTTTTGATAAATATAACCAATTTCTAAAAGTTTTTTTTCCATAATAATCCCTATTATTTTTAATAGTTCTAAATGATATTCTACCTAATCTATGAATTTTTAAACATAATAAATTTTCATTTATATCTTTACATATATATATATCTGATTCCTTTCCAACCCCAATTTGATTACCTATACTTTTTAATATTCCTCTTTTTAAAAAGGTTCGGAGTGCCAGAAAATCATAACCTAAATATGTCAATTTGTATCCATCATATTTTTTATTTTGATGACTTATTAATTTATTTTTTAATAATTTTTTTAAAACATTTGTTATTCCTTCTTTTCTCAAATTGGCTATCGTTGCTATTAAGGAAACTGGCAAATATTCATGATTTTTCATTCCCATCTCAATAGCCGTCAGAACACGATATTCATTTTTTGATAGAAAACTAAAACACGATATATCTAACTTCATTATATATCCTTTATGTATATTATATTAATAAATTATAAAATTGAAATGGAAATATATATATATATATATATATACACATATATATACATATATATATATATATATATATATATATTGCATATTTCTATATTTTAATACATTTTTTAAGAAGCTCTTTTTTTAATATTTATCTCAATTTTATATAAATGTGTTCTTTAATACTT